GCGTTGCAATTTCGGTACAAGGATCATTGACCAATGCTGATTTATCAAAATTTATGCGAAAATTCTCAAAAGAATTAATTTTTTGTATTTGGAATTAAACAGAGCATAGATTGCATAAAGAAATTTAGAGAGATATGAAAGATGAATGAAATCACGTACCTTCGTACGCGTTACAGCAAGTGTTTTCACATTTTTTTTTTTTTAATTTCGGAAGCACTACTTTTATTCACATTAAGCTGCCTAAAGGGTAATGAATAAAGTGTTTTGACATATTTTCAATATGGTTTAATATATTTTTTAACAACTAAAAAATAAAATTTTGCGGAATATGTTTTTTTTTTTTTTTTTTGAAGAGATATAGAAAATTCAAAATGTTGGCTTTATTAATTCACTTATTCTATGGCTTTTAGTGTTTGGTAACTATCTCAGGCATATGGTCACCGCGACTGCGTCTCTTTTTTCAGCATAGCCGGCCTCATTGTGTCAATTTTGTGCTGGATTACTTTCGAGCTGATCAGTCGTAGCTGTTTTATCAGCGTAGATCATTGCCTTTACCAGAATCTGTCGCATTTGATCTGAGTATCGCCATCCAGAAAATTTATTTCTATTATCAAAGAAAATGCTCCGTAACCAAGCCTTTGTGAAAACCCAACCACAGTATTCACCTGATTTGGTTTCTTGTGACTGCTATCCTCTACCAAAAATAAAAACTTAAAAGACATTCGTTTTATTGACATTCCGACCATTGAAGCAGCTTCTACACAGGCGTTAGAGTTCACCAGGTCACTCCACAAAGTGAACTTGAACAAGCATTGGAATCGCTGTAAAAAATGCATTGAAGCCAGAGGCAGGTATTTCGAATAAGCTAACCAATAAATATGCAAATATCTTTTTTCTATAAAAAAAATTTTACGACCAATCCGGTAACTTAAATTCTGCATTATTTTTCCTAGAATTAATTATATAAATTCTTTGATTCATAAAATGCGGTATTTTCTAACGTATATAAGTATCTCAGTAGCAGAAATTTCTTTGTTTGAGTTTATCTTCCGAAATATAAAAGTCTCAGGCAAAAGGCACAATAATGAACAATGCAATATTTTTTAGTCCACCTACTTTTTAACAAAAACAAAAACAACAACAATTCGAATTCAACAAGTCAGTACAAAGAATAAACCGGCGGGACCAACCAAAGAGGGCAACACAATCATAATTGCATCTACAAGAATGAAGAATGTGGCAGTCGCAACTGCAAATTACGCTCATTAAATGTGCAACAACAGCAGCTCGTATATCAGAATTCGGCACTTTCGAAAGTGCAGACGGCGGCTGACTACGGTTGGCAGTGCGGGTTGAAAGGCCAGTAAATGCAATGAAATCAGCGCAGGCAATGCAAACTCGATTGCAGAATTCTCTTACACTCACTTCAATACATATGTATGTGAGGACATTTTTGGGTGTAGCTACAATGTGTGTATGAATGTGAACATGAACATTATTATCACCTTGCGCACAAGTCTGTACGAATCAACGTAATTTACGAATATTTCTTTTTTTTTTAGACTTATCGTCTTCTTCGGCATTTAAGATCTCCGCAATGCATTCATTCATCCAGCAATACGATTCAATTCGTTTTGCTTCTTAAATGCTGCTGCTGTTACCTTCCATTCACCATTCGAGCCACCTTAAATGCTTTCATAACATTTGTCGCCATCGAGTGTTGTTGGTCGGTCAACATTGACTCTTGATATATATATTTTTGTTGGTCGTCACATTCATGCTACATTTGCTCAATATGCGTTAATGTGACTTGTTCTACATGCAAGTGGCATGATGAAGTGCGTGTATACACTCTCCAAGCACCGCTGTAAGTCCACGACCCTGATGTCTGTGATCATTATACATATATCAACTGGATGCCTGTTAATAAAAACTGCTTATAAATATTTATACATTTGTATGTATGTACCGTACTTTGATTGGTATGCCTGTTGCTGCTCATCAGTTCGATATACATAGCTCTTTTATTTCGTTGAATTGTGGGATTTTAATTAATCAGTACAAAGAATAAAGTTTTGCCGGAGAAGTAGGCGGAAAAAATTTATTGGGACTTTCCGGTGTGCGAAAATTCGTTCACTTGTCGCTTTTCAGCGTGCCGCTTCTGTATTAATTCTCAACACATATGTACTTCTCACACGCTTGCCAGTCACTTTCAGATGCGCGAACTACATTCACCACTTGGTATTCCCAAGAATTCGTCTTCATTACCAGAAATTGGTTAAGAAAATAAAAATAAATAAAAATATCAAAAAATGTCTTAAGCTGGTAATATTGCGACAGCACCAATTCAAAATTTTAACATGTTCTGCGCGTATTTAGTGCTTGCACGCTTAATCCAGTTCGCTACGCTTTAGTTGTCTGGATAGGCAAGACTACAGCAGCCACCTCAAGCGATAAGCTTAATAAAATAAAATTTATCCAAAAGGTGTGGGCGACAAATAGGCTAATTTTAAAAAGCTTATACATATGCAACTCTTTATATGTATACAGGGTGGCCCAAATAAGACCTACCAATGTTAAACACGCATAACTTCTTTATTTTTTTTTTTAAATATTATTGTTATTTTCTTTCTGTATGTTATACATAGTTAATCTCTTGGAAAATCATAATGGATACTTACAGTGTACAACAACGCATTAAAACTATCGATTTTCCTATTCTCGTCAACGAAAGTATCGCTTATGATTAGGAGTTTGGTCGACCGTTTTGAGGAACGGGGTCGAGCGCACGTTTAGTACATTTAAGGCTTTTCTTCGCGAACATCTAATAAAAATGCTGCCAGAAAACTTCTAAATGCACTACAACTATAGAGATTAAAGTTTTGCGAGTTAAAAACTCAAATGAGGAAAATAGTCAAAGATTCAAAGTACGAATTTTTGATAAAATGAAATTATGTAGTTCATAGTTTTTCTGTTTTTGCTTGTAAAATAAACATTTCTAAAATAAATGTATTTTTTGATTGTTTTTCGATTTTTGTCTTTATTTAATACCTTATTTAGCCTTCTAGTGCCTTTTCCTACCTATTTACCCATTTTTTGTAGGTTTTTAGGTCCTAAAAATCCGTTCCCTGGTAATAATGTTGTGTGTGAACTCATAAAAAAAAAGGAATTAATGGGATTATTTTAACACATACCTCCGATGCAAAACTTAACCTTAAAATGCTCTAAAAATACCATAAATTCCATAATTATATGCATATGATGAAATATGAGCCAATTGTTAGTTGCTCCTTTACGCGATTTCTAGTGAAAACGTTGCGCGCATAAGCGGTGAGCCTGTATGGTTCACGATGAGTGCGCGCTGTGACAAATGTTGCTGTAAGTCAAAAACAGAAAAGATCTAACAAATTTTTTGTTTATAAATATTTTCTTCATCAAATGCAGTTTTCGAAAATATAAACGAAATGGAAAACACTCATTGAGAACATGTTTTTAATGCAACTTGAATATTTGTAATGTTTAAATAAAAAAAAAATGTTGTTTTCTAGATTATAAAAATATTTTTTTTTTTAACTCCAATGTCACTACACTTACAAAATAAATTTCATCAACCTTCGTCAAATACTTTAAGAGAAAATGAGTTTTGAAAAATTGCTTGAAAATATATTTTCTTATAAAAACTTTAAAAATTAAAATTTTTCAAAAAATTCTTAGAATCCCTTTCATATCTCTAAACCTCTCTATCCACAAATTTTCACGCAAAAATTCGAACGTGACCGAAATTCGAGGTCCAGTTATATATTTTTTAGGGCTCATCACATTTAGTTATCATTAGAAGCAAATCCAATCTTAATCCAAAAGAAAGTATTCATTACAGAGCAATTTCGTTCCACTTATTGACTATTGCTTTATTTAAGTCGTTAATTTTTTAGTGAAATATGCATTATCATTCCGTGTCAGATTTCCACGCTTAAGTGTAAACAAATATGAAACAATTTATGATGAGCCTCTGGCTTAAATATTTAATTCGAATATTGAAGTAATTGACTTCTTAACTTAACCACTTGGCCCGTTCATAATTTTTCCATTAGCACATAACGACTAATTTGCTGAAAACAGATTAGATTTGGGAAAGTATTGTATACGCGCATAATAAAAGACAAAAGTCGATAACCCTTCGATTTTGAGGATGAGATCACCAATTAGCTTTTATGTGGTTGGAGATTTGCATTTTTTAAAGCATCCAATGGCTTTCTTTAATTTCGATCAATTTGTGACCACTTTATGAATATTTGATTACATCTTTCACACAAATTTACATGCGAATACATTCACCGTGCTGTAAGTGACGTTTGTGAATGTTTATTGTCTTAAAAACAAAGTAACAAATGTTGTAAAATGTTAATCAGCTGATTACGACTGAGATAAACTACAGCATACTAGTATGTTGGTGTTGCTAAGCAAATATTTACTAAGTGCAATGTTGGACTTTTATGTTTGATGTCTCATAAATTGTGCTTTGCCTTTTAAAAACTATCACAAAAAAGTATAACAAAAATGTAAAGAAAGATGCATACTTAATAAACGCAATGCGAAACGAAATTTCTAAAAAATTATGAACAACCAATTGGCAAAAAATTTGTATGTTTGATAGTAATAGCTGGAAGCCAGCAGTTTTTATCTAAAAATCTTTAAAATTAACTCAATGAAGTCAATAATTAGTTGTGTAACACAATTTTTAGACAAATTTGCATACAATTTTATTAGCTAAAATGAGGCTATTTAAGCAGTTGATGTAGGTGAGCATACATATGTATGTATGTATGTATGTAGTAAAATGTACTTTTTACTAACCGGTCATTCAAAATAAATAATCTAATTAATAGCCGAACTGTCAGTAACCGCAAATTATGTAAATTTCGCACTTTAGTTGTTATTTTTATTAGTCATTAATGTGAATTAAATATTTATGCCATATATCTTCCTTCTATTTCTTACAGTATCTGGCCTCTCATCTGGCGAACGTGAGATCATCCTGCACGAGCACAACAAGTTAAGACAACTAGTGGCGACAGGTCGCTATCCAGGCCAACCGGGCGCAGAAAATATGCGTGAAATCGTTTGGGACGATGAGTTGGCGGCGCGTGCGCAACAGTGGGCTGATAATTGTGAATTCCGTCATGACCCCCTACGAACGATCAGTAAGTCATCAAGTGTGCGAATTTACATATGTCACTAACACACAAGTCACAACCGTTTATTTTTTATCATTAGATAATATTCATGTTAATTTTTTTGTCAACTAATAACATAAATGCATGGATTAATGCGAGCAAAAAAAAAACAAAAAAACATTACTCGAGCATATAATTCATAAAAATAATTTGGTACTAATTTCTAAATTACATACTACATTTTAAAGTTTGTGAGCTTGCATTTGGCAGGGACCGTAAGAGTGCATTTTTTCTTATGAAAATAAATATTAAAAATTATATTTTTATACTCTTATTCAATATTCTTAAATAATAGTTATTTTTGACTTTTATTTTATTACCAGACAACTTATTTATATTTGCTTCATAGTAATCCTTTCAAACAAAGTTTTCATAAATAACTTTTATTTCCGGTCCGTGCTTTTGGTTATCATTGAGTTTTTTTGTTTGCATTGAAAAATTTTGTTTGGAAAATAAAACTTTCAAAAACATATAGTCATTTAGATCGATAAATTAAAACCAGTGAGGAAACTTTTACAAAATTTCCAAACAAAAATTAAAAAGAGAGAAAAAGCAAATCTGTGATTGAAGGAGTATATTTTGTAAATAAGAAAAATATTCGCGGACTTGGCTAAAACCAAAAATTCATGTTTGAAAAAACGGGCATGATTTACAGCATAACACATAATAACACATCCCCAAAAATCTGTCAAACTGAAAAAATGTGCATTTAACACAAAAAAAAAAAAAAATTAATTAATTAAAAGACAGCTTAAAAACCTAACGACTATCAGTCTTCATATATCCCGTTCCATTGAATTTGGAAACGCGCCATTCAAGCTAAATAAAAGTTCAAGTTCTCAACACGAAACATGCATGTCCACATGGGCCCATAAAACAAGGAAAAAGAAAGATCAACGAAAAAATTAAAATAACATTAAAATGGATAATGGTTTGATCTCGATCATATAAAGGGTAACTACTATACTTTACACATAAGAAGTGCGTGTGCCTAACCTTCATGGCATTTATATACATATTCAATATTTTAAAAATACAAAAATTTTAACTAAACTTGCATGTCGATGTTCCTCTTATTTAAATCATACGCTACCCGCTTTTTGTTGCCCTAAATAACTAACTCAGTTGATATTTACAATTAGTAATTTTTGTCTTGTCTTTTCTTATTTTTGTATGATTGCTTCTATTTTTTTCCACCAATTTTTATCCATCTCCTGCATGATGCTGCATTGGCCGTTTCTTCTGATTGCTGTTTGCTGTTTGTGCGCCACCGTTGGACCACAATTTAATTTTCACAAACAAATGTAGATCGCTTCACCATGGGCCAAAATCTTGCAATCATCTGGAGTACGGCCCCACTAGATCCAACCGACGGCGATTTTCCATCGCGCATCCAAAGCTGGTTCAATGAGGTGCAAAGGTACTCATTTGGCGATGCTTGGTCACCCAAAACTGGTCATTATTCACAGGTAAGTTTAAGTGAATAACAAAGTACAGAGTAACAAATATAAGAGATGAAAATTTACCGCTAAAGGACTTACATACGATTTATAGTATTTATACAATTTATCACCATATGAGACCAATTGGTCTGAAACAATTTCATATGTACCTACATACTCGGGTCTATTAGATAACATTGTAAGTCCATTGTTCGATTTTTGTTAAATCTACGAAAATGTTTAGGTTGGATCCGAATAGCTTTGAAAAGATTTTGTACGACAAATTTATAATGTTGAAACCAGGGACCGAACATAACAGTTATTGATGAAAACTGTCACGGAAAAATTCTCTATGAAGAAAATGTTCTACAAACTGATACTGATACATACCAATCGATTTCTTTTTTCACCGAGACTCAAATTTGAAAATAAACTTTTATTTGCAATTTTTATGCAAAATTAAAAAAATAACTATTATTTTTGATTTCTATATTATAAATCCATAATAACAATTATTTTTTTTTATATTTATATTATATGTATTAGATAACAGTTATTGAAGACTTGTATTGAAATAAAAATAAGTCAGTGACTTTTACTTTTAAAAGTCATTATTAATATAAATCAGTCACCGATTTTTATTTATAAAAGTCATAAAAGAAAACTTTGTCACTGACCTTTTTTTTTAATCATTTGTATAAAAGTCAATACACATAACATGTTTTGCAGTTAAGAAGGCGTTGGGAAACAAAAGTTTACTACGACTTATACAAATGACTTATAAGTATGATTTAAAAAATAAAGGACAGCGACAGATTTTTTTTATGGCTTTTATTAATAAAAGTCTTCGATAACTGTTGTCTGAGACATATAATGTAAAAATCAAAAATAACTGTCATTTGCAATTATTTAGATAAAAATCAAAAATAATTGTTATTTTCGATTTATAAAAAAAAGTCAGAAATAACGGTTATTTAAGGAGTAATTAAAAAATAATTGTTAAAGAGTGATTTTTTTTAATAAAAGATGTAACTGTTATGGTCCCTGGTTAGGACAGAGTTTAAAATTGCCAAATCTCAAAAAAAATGCATAGTAGAAGCAATAATATTAGAGAAAAATGTTCAGTAAATTTGGTGAATAACGGTTTAAAATATCACCAATATAGTTTCGACTTCTTGCCGTTAGTTAATAAATGCGTGTACATACTACTTCCGTATAGGGGAAAAAATAAAGTAGGAAATGAATGGTGTGTTAAAAATTTATTGAACTAAAATTTTTTTTTAAGAAATACACTTCTAGAGAAATGTTTGCGCAGAATTTTCGTTCTGTATGTAATATTTTCTATTCAAATCCTAAGGCGAGTGGATTCATCATATTTTTTAAAACAGGTTTCGGTTACTCAAAAACATTAAAAATCAATACGAAATTTTTCAAACTTTTGTTTGGTTTTCACTTAGTAATTTCGAATATTAATTATGGCATTCGAATTCGGCTACAATGTTTTCGATTACATTCACATTTAGTGATAGAACTGTTTTTCGATTTTGAGTAAGCTGAAGCACATTGTGGGTGCCAAAGAACTCAATTGTTCGCCCCTCCAAACTCCGCCGGCAAACCCTTCATACCTGAGTCATCTGTAGACAAATGTTGAGATGTCGCAGTAGCACGTGCTCACGAGCGCCGGCTTGCCAATACCTTCAAAGCAGCTTGGTTATCACTACAGAGACGTATTTAAGTTGCTACCTCTCCAACTACTTCCCATTACGTAACCTATGGTTTTGAGTATGGCAAATAGCATAGTTCGGAATACCGAATCATATTCCCCCACGATAAAAGCAATGAGTGTCCCCATTAAATTCGTCATAGACTCGAGTTGATGACCCTATGTCAGGTTAGGTGCCCTCGCTAAGGTTTCGATAATGTATAAGCCTGGCATGAGTGTTGAGATTAAGCCATCACCCGGCCTCAGCGATGGGGTACTGAAATGATACTTTTGTATAGATACGATCAACGATTTCCATTTCACTCCACACAGTAAATCCATACGAAATTCTGCTTACAAAAAATTATGCTTTTTGAAAATTCTCCGTTTGACGATTCTGCTCAAAAAAATACTGAATTGCTAAATTCCGTATTGAAATATAATAGGGCTGTTCAATATCTTGTGCATATGATCTTGCAATATCTGTGCATTTGTAAATTCACAACAATAAAATGCTAACAGTTGCCATGGTAGCAAACATAAAATTTGCAAATGAAAATCCAAGTCCATTTCCACAATATCCTGAACATCTCTAATGTTGAAAATATTAAGAGGACATGTCACTACTTTGAGACTACTTTTTCAAAGTAATGACATGTCATCTTTAAAATTGTTTACATTATATTTTTAAAAATAATTTTGTAATTCAGTATTTCGAATTGGTTTGACGAAATTTATAATATTAGAAATAATTAATTACCCGAAATATTCTCTTGAGTTTTGGTAAGTACAGGAGTGCACCGAAAACGAAGTGGCGAAGGGTGGCATCGCCGGCTAAAAGTTGTTCTTGGAGGCAGAAATCCCTAGTTTGTTATTGGGCACGTTCAGAAGGCCCAACAGCTCAGTAACTGTTTCGATTGCATCCTTTGAACGCTTAGTTGTGTGCCTATTTCTGATAAATTCAACAGTTGAGTGTTAGATGATCGTCATATATTTCTGGTTATTTGAGACAATATGCTGTTTGACCCTTTGACAGTTGAATTGGATAGTTAATATATCAAGCCGTTCAGAAGACCCATGACATCGCTCAGTAATCACTGATATTTTTTAGCAAGGGTTGCGCTCAACTGTTGTAGTGTAAAATGGAGAAATAGTATGAAAGAAGAAACAAGTACACAATTAAAAAATAAAATTACTTAAGTCCCACAGCTTTTTTGAAGAGAATTGCAAAAAATATTGTAATGTGCTAAAACAAAATATGTACATATTGTTGATATATATTAAAAATAAAAGTATCTTTTGTTAATTATAAGTACACGCTGCAAGAATTTGTATACTATTCGCTATGTATAATAGATTTTTAGGTCGAAAAGTAGAATTTTGTGAAACAAAATTTCAAAATGCGGAATTTTCAGAAGCAGAATTAAAAAAAGGAGATGCAGAATTTTGTTCGAGCAGCACTTTTTACATTTTGCCTTGCCTTTAAGGCGTCTGAATGTACATTAGGGTGGTCCAAAATAAGTAAAGTCAGAATTTTAATTCTCTAACCCCCTAGGTTTATTCTGTATAGAAAAAGATATACCCCTATTTTTTATTATGAAACCAAAAAATATTTCGAGGTCGCTCAAAGCGCTCAAAGTTTTCCATGTATTTTAAATGGGCAAAAAATAACTTTTCGTAGAACTGATATAGAATTCTTGAAAATCAATATTTTTCAATCGAAAAACTCTGATTCTCTTCAGGAGGCTTCCAATAATAATACCCATTTTTTAATATTAAATATTTTTTATCTATCCCCCAACTGCTTTTTCTGGGGGTTTTGGCGCACGTATAAAATATAGTTGCTATGAAAAAATGGTTAAATAAAAAACTGGGTATTATTACTGAGAATCTTCTGAAGAGAAACAGAGTTTTCCGATCGAAAATTATAAAGGTTCCGATGAATATGGGTTTTAGATCAACTTTATTTAAATATGCCCAACAAATGGCGACACTGTTGCTTGTTCTGTGAAATTATTGTTGAATTTTTAGCTGCTAAACAGCTGATTGTTGTTTGGCAAGATTGATAAAATATATTATCTATCAATCTTGGTTGACTGTTACTAACACAGGGTTGCATATCTCATATTTAAATCGCCAATGTTAGCCAGTTAAGCGCAGACTAAATTTATGATCTGAAAATTAATATTTTAAGTTAACTAATAGTCGCTACCTAAATAGGTCATCTGAAATTGGTCCTAAGTGTAACAGAATTTCAAGAGCAGCGCCAGAATTATAGAGAAACTTACCTTTCGACACTAGGTGGTTGTCTTAATAAATTTCACAATCCGATTTAGCATGTTATTTATTGAGAGTGTGCCACATGGGTTTTATTCCTTTAAATAGGTTTATATTGTTAGGCAACCAAATAAAAAATTGTTTTACAGAAAAGTAATAATAATAATATTTTGGCGTTTACACTTTTTGCTTAGAGTTCATCTGAGCTTCTCCTCCAATTTGTGGTGTGCGTCTTGAAGTCGCTACACAGAAATAAATTTTCGAAATTCAATATTTTCTTAAAAAGTATTAATATTATTTAAGTTAATTTTAAAATATAACACATATGTGGAAAACAGGTCAATTCAGGTCTTCAGGTCAATCTTATGCATGCAAAAATATATTTTTTAGTAGATATGCATTAATTTTTATTTAAGCCTATTTTTATTGATGATTTCTGTTTTTATCTTCGTTACAGCTGGTCTGGGGTGAAACAAGCTTGGTTGGTTGCGGATTTTCCGAATACAAAGATACAACCAAATATAACAAATTGTATGTTTGTAATTATGGACCAGGGTAAGTATTTAAAATACGTTAAGTCTTTACAGTACAAATACTGAAACGGGGTAATAAGTGCTTGATTTCACATTACTTGGATTTAGCGGCAAAACCTGCTGTTTCCAATAATTTGTGATTGTGATAAATAAAACTTGTCTAGATGGTTTATAAATTAAGCTGAAAAACATTGAAAAATATGTGAGTGACGATTTTTTATGAAGCAAAAACCCTACGTTAAAGTCGGGTACAGGTCTGTTCTAGTTTAAAAAATATTTTTGGTAATAACTTCAATCCACATTCAATCCACATTCAATCCAATTCTCAATATTTCCCTCGAAACTCGAACCACACATAATCTTTCATGTTACTTTTGCCTCAAAAATTAAAAAAAATATGCTCAAAATTTTATAATTTGGACCATAAGTCGAGTTTCCATTGCGCTCGAGCAATTAGATTTAGACTCGTCAAAAGAGCGGTATATTCCCAGTTGGTGGTTTTTATTGGAATATAATCAGTGGCTAGTTCGCAAATTTTACCCATTCAGTATAAGATACTGCTGAAATTTTAAAAATTATCAGCCTATTTGCGAGCATCGAGTGAAAGTCGTTTTTCGAGAGTAGAGACTAAAAAATTGTATGACATTGCAAATTCGACTCGACTAATGCTTGGGCGAAGGCCAAATTTTTGCCTCAGTCTTGCGTAAATGTCAAACTAAATCTACTCGAGAAGCAAAAAAATCCCTTTCTAACCGAAATTTTGTCCTATAATCTGCAGAAAATTCGCATATTTCATCTTCCAGTTTCTCTTAGATACTTTCTTACCACCACTAACATAAATATTTTCTTAGCTTTAATTTAGTCCTTTTCATAACTCTAATCCTTCTCGCATTTTGATTTTCAGTGGAAACGTCGTCGGTTACAAACCATATGAGGAGGGTAAGCCATCGTGTGCCACATATGGTTTGAGATCGTCAGCGCGTTATCAGGGATTATGCGCACCATCGGTTGCGCCCATAGTTAGCGCCAACGCTATTGACACGTATGAGTACAAGCAAAATAACAACAACAAAAAAACCGCATATTCAACGCAATCCGCTACAACTTCAACCTCTTCTTCCTCCTCCTCTTCTGTATATTCCCCAAAACAGGCGACGAACACATTTGGTCAGCGTAAGACTACATCCGGTACAACAAGTTCAACGTTTGGTACCACAGTATACACAACAACAAATAACGGCAACAAGGCGTACACAACTCAGACCGGTGACAACAAATATAAGAACAAACTTGAGGCATATCGCCCGTCCACAGCCGAATATCAGAGGGCCGTACAGAAACACACCCTTCTAAGGACATATCTAAATAATCCGAATTTGAGTGAACAACAATTGCAGCAAGAGGCACAAAGGCAACAACAACAGCAAGATGGTAATGGAAATGTTTCTGCTGTATCAGAAGTATTCGTTTTCGATAAAACAAAACAAAACAAACAGCAAGTTGCCAATACAACACCGCAGCCGGCTAAGCGTGGTTGGAGTCTTTTGACGTGGCGTGGCTAGATAGTAGCATGTGGGAGTAGGGTATAGCCATTAGTATATAGCATATACATACACACATAGATGGAATGAAAAGTGGAGGACAGAGAAGTACTTTTTTAAGGAAAAAATTGCAATTAATTTTGGTTAAGGCAACAGGGGAGGCAGCCACCGTGAATTACTACTGTGTAGTAAAGGAAGGAGAAAACTTCAGTGGTATGCCATAAAAAATGCAATTAAAAAAAATACTCTACATTGAAGAGATCTTTTTTCGACTGCAGTAAATTTGTTTGCCTTTGAGTAGCCATTAAAATCGTAATGCAATAATGAAAATAATATTCCTAATTTTGCTCAAATTAAAGTTTACTATTAGTATATATTTATGTATGTAGATATAAGTCTTATGCCAAATGTACGAATTTGACATACATACACAGTTTTCATTAGTTCGTAAGTAGTTATCGATTGTTAGATGTAAAAAGTAATGCAGTATATTCACACATACACACACACACACATACATACGTATGTACTTATTTGCATATTTTGACTGCCCAAAAGGCGTTTGCGCGCCCAGTTTTAGCCACAGCCACGCAAAAGCTGAATCGAAAACAATTCCGAACTACTAAGTATTCACATAAGCCACCAGCCACACAAGGGTATAGCCATATCATTTGCCATAACCGCGTAGGTGGACGCCAAGCAGCACACCCTTGTACTCAGGAACAACGTTTCGCCTGCATTTAGATTCTTCATCTTAAAGCATATGCGCTCATCTAAACACTTATGTATTAACAAATCAGCAAAGTTGCCACTGCATCGCGTCATTCTCTTGTGGAAAACTGCCATTCGCGATCAGCACACATTAATGCGCATTTTGTAGTCAATTATCACATAGTATTTAGTATTAGTAAGATAAAAAAAGAAACATAAACAAATGCATTCACATACATATATATGCATATATCAGTGTAAGCTTACATATGTACACACAAATACTTGTACTATACAAATGTTTGTATCAAACGTTTGTACCCACATCTGCTTAAATATAACAATAGCGACCACATTTTAGACAAAAGTAATAGCTTCTAATCAGAATACTGAAAAAAAAAATATTCTATACATACACACTTCTGAAGAATAAGATGGATATGTTTGCTAAATTGTATGCAAAGATAACACATCGAGCGACTTTGCATAGTCTCTGCATTAATAAAATTTTACCAATGTACATTTTATTTTAAATGAAATTTTTATACAAAATATATACAGCATGAATAAATTTTAGTTCATGTGAAGAGCGCTGTATAATGTAATCTTGCGGAAATTATTAACCAAGCATTAAAATAAAATAAAATTTGTATTAAATATTAATTAAAAATAACTTAAAACTCATTGTTTCAAATTTATGGTGAACAAATTTTTTTGCTCAATATTCACTATGGAATCGCGACGAATAACTCTCTGGCATAGGAATAAATATTTATTCCAATGTTTTTTCCGAAGAGAGGAATTGACATTCGGAGTGTCAAAATAGTAAAAATTTTTTTATTTATTAAAAAAATCGGGGAGGCTTCTCTGAAAAAATGAAAAATATCGGATATGCAAAAGCCAAAAAGCCATTTCGGTGCCCCATATTAGGAATGTTTTTAATATTTAATTTAGGTAAATTTAAGTTAAAGCTTAAACAGACGGCAGCGTTGGTGCCGATTAACTCGGTCTTAATCCGGATCAACTGCAGTTAATTCCCGTGTTGATCCGGATCTTGTTTGCCAAAGAACAAATTCGTCTGCACAACAACTACCCAAGTCACATACGCAAATACATAATTACAAAAAAAACATGTTTCGACACGCAGAAAAAAAAAACTTTGTGTTGAGTAAATGGAGATGTGACTTTCCATACATATTACAATGTGCGACAAAAACCAAAAACATTTCAAAACACACGAAGCAATATACCAACGAAACTAGGGGCCAAATATAGATAAAATGCGTTTTTAGATTTCCTCTCCGAAGTCAGTGTCTTTTTTTTAAAGGACTTCAAGGATATGAAAAAATTCAACAAATGATTAAAAAAATTCAGTGCGATGTAGAATGCCAGTATGGAAAGCCAATAAAGAGAAATTTTTTTTTAGAATTGAAAAACATTACATTTGTTGGTGCACAGTAGGTATTGAAAATGTCCTTTTAAATAATTTGTTTATCCTACACTAATAAAGTTAAAAGGACGATTTCAATACCTTTTCGACCTTGCGACCCAACACATCAAATTATCTTTCAATTTAGCTGAGTTTTCTGTTTTATTTGACACCCATATTGTTATTCTACATTGCCCTGAATTTTTTAATCATTTTTGAATTTATCATATCTTTAAACTTTCAAAGTCCTTAAAAAATTCCTCGGCTCGAATCGTCACATACGATATCGTATTACTCGTCACGTAAAACCACATTTTTCAAATTATGACATACGGGAACGTACTCTTTGTCCGTTCAATCTTGTCAATCAGCTTTTTCGATTAATTGGTTAATCGCATATCCCCATATTTTAGTCACACACTTTTTCACTCCCCACAAAAAAAAAATAATAATAATAAAATAAAATAAAAATTCACATTACTTATATTAAAGAGAAAGTAACTCGCTTTATGGGGCTTGCTTGTTTGTTGCTAAAGTTCTGTTCTATAAATGCTGGTTAATGGGTCGATCATCGATAGCAATCGAACTTAAGTTGCGTTGCTAATTGCCAAAACGATATTACAGATGGCAATTGGCAACTTTCAGCTGGCAACTGCAGTTGCTACAAAGTGTGTATATAGACGGCAACATTTTTGTGGTTGCTGGGAATGTTTTTGGAGCGTATTTAAGAGCAGAAATTTGAAAAACGTGACATACATATTTTATTTTTTAATAATTTGAACGATATCAACATTTTGCAATGCAATTTGCTTTTGCAGAATATGGTGAAAATAACAAAATAAATGACTTGAAATTTTAGTTCCCGTGGAGTACGGCCTTTTGGCGAAACAAACACTGATTGCAATTTTTTTCCTTTATCAACTGAAGCACCTCTTTTAAAACTACCGATACACACCAGGTTTTCCAAACTGAAATCATTGCTGTGGCACTTTCTTCTGCGAAAAATCGAAGAGATGCGCAAGCTTTTTGAGCGGAGGTATTGAAGTTGAACGAAGCGGTTCATTTGTTTATTAATTAATTATACCACATCTCCTTTTGGAAGTCCTCAATATGCTTTGAAAATGAACACAAAATGATAATAAAAGAAAAGCCTTGAAACCATTAATTTTTACTTGCAGTGCACGCGGTTAAAATGTCGCCTGATTGAGGCCGCGTTCATGCACTTCTCTTCCTCTTAAACAAATAACTGTGATGAACATAGCTTCATTGCTGTCTTTTCTTTAAAACTCTTTATTTTAATAATTTAATTTTACTCGCACAGTTTGTTTACAGCCGCTTGCTGGTTGTCGCACTGTCAAATTTCGATTATCGATAACTCTACAAGAACTTACGATAGTTGCCATTCGTAATACAAATTTTCTTTCCAGTTGCTTTGCCAGCTGGCACCCGAACCGTGGTTTTGTTGCTATCCGTAATCGACCCATTAATTCTATCTATTGAAATATTCTTGTGAGTGTTGTGTAGCTGAATTGTGAAATACTTTAGGTTTTTTCCAACGACTTCATACGGTCCTTCGTATGGAGGCGTCAAACCTGATTTGTTCTTGTCGACATGCACGAAAACTTCTTTGCAATACCGTAAATCTTTGAGCATATAAATTTTGTTTCTATTTTGGTGATTAGATAAACCAGAAAGGAAAATTGGAAATGATTTTTTTATTTTTGCTAGAAATTCAGTAATACTAAATTTATCTTCAGATTGAAGGACAAGTTCGCCTGGTAAACTCAAATTTTTACCATAAACCAATTCTGCTGCAGTGGATTTAATATCTTCCTTGAATGAAGCTCTTAAACCCAGTAAAACCATAGAAAGTTCCAGGGACCAATTAATTGAATTACCTCTTTCCAAAATTGAAGCCTTTAACTGTCTATGCTTGCGAATGATATGCAGTAGTTGCGATCAATTGACATTCTATAAACTTTGCTAGTTCTTTGAATATATTAGATGTAAATTGAACACCTTGATCACTTGTGATGTGAGAAGGTACTCGAAAACTTGGTATGAGCTCTTTGAAGAAAGTAGTAGCAACTGATGTCGCCGTAGCTTCTTTAAGTGGAAACGGCTCTGGCCAACGAGTGTTTCGATCAATGATAGTTTATTGATATATTGATAACCATTTGAAACTGTTAAGGGTCCTACGATGTCTGTGTGTAGATGGTCAAATCTTCCGTTCGGTATAACTATTTTAGCAATAGGTGAATTAGTGTGTCCAGCAGATTCTGGATTCTCATGCATTTGCTTATGTTCTTCGTAATATGCTCGTACCGCAAAATGTTTGTGGCAAATTTCACAATTATAGACATTGGGGCCAATCGTGTGAATTTTTTTATGCTTATCTAGATTATCTTTGCGCGAAAATGGTTTACTACAATCATCAGAGCTGAATGGCTTTCGTCCTGAATGCGAGATTTCATAGCGCATTAGGTGCTCTTTTCGGCTGAAATCCTTATCCTTTTTATTACCTTCCTTTTATTAGTTCGGGATGTAACTATGTAATATTGATGCGCCTAAGATGCAGCGATTTCTATTCTCAAGTTACATACCTGACGACAGTACGAATGGTAATTATAATAGGGAGGTTTTAGTTTTTTAAACTATAATTTTATTATTCTGCAAAATTGGTATCTTCGTTTGCAATATCGCGTTTTGTGTTGGTTGTTGCTGTTGCTGCTGCTGCGGTGGTAGTGATGATCTTTGCTGTTGCTTCGTGGTTGATTTGTTTGTTATGCGATGCACGGTGATTCCACTATGCTGCTGCTGCGCCGCCAAACGTGGTAGCTTGCGTTTCTTGCAACAGTTCTTCTTGTTGCTGCTGACGTAATTTAAGCTCGGAACACTTTGACGACTGCAACTTCACGACGTAACGACAGCGACATCATTTTGTCGACAAATGTCGCCTTGAAGCCAGCTTCTTAAACATTTTGAAGACCTCAGCGACATAGCAAACAGCTGTTTTTGAAGTTTGACATTTTGGTATATTTATTTCACAAATTGTGTATTTTTATTTAAGTAAATAAGAAAAACATGAACAATCAAGAATATGTGATTAATTTTGCGACAATTTAAGTTTGCAGCACTACATCTACTCATTGTCGCCGGCAAAATTAGAAATAGATTTAATTTGGCGACGTCGACAATTGCAGTCCTGCAGCCAAGATGTCGTGCTGTCGTCAAAATAATTGTGTCCGTAAGAACGTGTGTATTTAAAATTTGACAGATGCTGCTTGTCGCTTGCTGTCGTCAAAGTGTTCCGAGCTTTATGCTGCGCCTGGTGTTGCTGTTGCTGCTGCTGTTGACGTTGTTTTTGTTGTGTGAATGCAAAATCAATAAGAGAGTTACTTTCTGGCAACGGATTTATATTAGGAGTACGAGTGACCATTATAAATAACAAAATAAATTGAAATATAAACTAATGTTAAATACCTTAGTGATACAGCTCACCACTGGTGAAATGTTATTAGCTATAGTTGCAGCACAGATGATTTGGACGCCGAAGTTGAGTGAGACACTGTTGCTCCACAGGTAGCTGGTTTTGTCGTTGTTGAAAAAATTGCAGGTGGTTGTAAATATTGTCAGTTGACTCTAATGGTTGTTGGTGAAGATGTTCGGCATGTGTTGTTGAGACGACTAGTACTTAGGCCGTTGTTGAAATTGTTCATTATATTGTTGTGGTTTTCGAAAGATCACGTTGGTGATTTCTGCTAATTTGCCTCTTGTTGATTCCTGCACGAATTCAATTCGCTGATATGAAAAATAAGCCTCTTATTGTCGGCATCAAAGAGCAAAAATATTTAGACACACGAATTAACGTATTACTAAAATGGTTACACCGAGATTTTAGCTTTATACATAATTCTTAAGTCTAAAAAATTTAAGCTCTTGCCTTTTAAAAATTTTCAAATATAATAATTTATTTCTAATTTTTCATTTTGAAACATTATACATATGCATGGTGGAATAGTATTATTATGGCTGCGTTTCTTTATACATTCCGGATAATCTCATTTCACAGCCGGAATAAACAGAATGTGTTTGAAATATACGTTAACATATCATCAGGAACGTTCTAAAGAATAAGTAAACAAAAAAGTTTATTCCAAACGTTCAGAATGAATAAAGAAATTCAGCCTATATATTATTATTATATTATTATTACACCATGATACATATGTATGTATTTAACATTTAAAAATCTAAAAAAAAATTATTTTATAACAAGTATCATTATAAAAAATAGGAAGGTAGAACGGCTGAGAGGAGTTTTTAAAATTCTTGACGGTTGCAAGCAATTTAATTTTGAAATTTTACACAGAAATTCCCACACACATTCTCATTTACAATCTCAAACAACACTTACTTTTTCTTACTCTCTATTTTTTATGATTTTAAAATGCTGGCAAACTTCAAAAAAAAAAATCATGGCCTACGAATTGAGAGAACGGTTTTACCTTACTATGTTTTTTATCATGACAAGTATTATATACAACAAGCACTACATACCATTTATAAAAAGCAATAGACAATTTTGAATGATATGAATTTTCTAAAGACTTTTCCAGATGCCATAACTTCATAATTTGTCGATTGATTTTAATGAATGGTTTCAAGTCTTACTCGGAATTAAGCATTGTTTCCGAAGTAATGACTAAAAGAGGATATTCTCATTTGAAATTTTGGCAGAAATGAAAAAAAATAAAAAATTTAAAAATTTTTACAGTGAGCTCACAAAATTTCTGACTTTTTTAAATAGTACAAATATTCTTCTTTCTAAAGCCATATAAAACTTAAAATTAGTTAAAAATTGTTTAGTGCCGGAAATCATGCGAAAATGGGGTTTTTAAGAACAAACTGAGAATTTGAGGGTGTTAAAAAATTTTGAAAACAGTTTCAAGAATTACTCGGCCAACTCTACGGCCTGTAATCAGTCACTTAAAAGATCTTGGAATTTTTTTATATTTTGTAACACCGTGTAATAGTAGCACTGTGATACCTTACGGAATACTGATGACCTTATTTCTGCCAGTGAGATGTCCGCCAACTATAACATTGGTCCGATGCGTCAACCTCTAGTCTTATGTCATGTATCCAAATAAAGACCTTATGAGAAACTGAAGAGCACAGATTGATGTGCGATTTCTGTTATAGGAGGCCCCAAAATCTTCGCTGTTTCACAGGACGAAAAGTTTTCTCGTACATCTTCTAAATGAATCGTGGGATCTTTTGAATATCCTTCAAATTAAGCCATTGTTACACCTATCGTGTTCTTTCTTGTGGATGGAAGGATGTGGCCGAATGTTTCCTTGCTAATTCACCCCTTTTACAATTCGTCTTAATATCTAGGCGTCCATGGACATATGAATGCACATACATATATTAGTTTGATTTTCGTAGACCTACGCTATCTAGATCAGATATGTACGGCATTCAGCAAGAGAAATTCCACTTTCTATGTGTTGGACTAAAGCTTTTGCTTCCTAAATGGCTAACACCCGAGACGCGATGATGTGCCTAGGATATCTGAATACCAGAGATTCATTTTATCCACGAACTGGTTTCTTTGAGTCTTGCTGCTATATTAAGGGAGCTCCGAGCAATTTCATCAAGCGTAGGTAGATGCAAGATTGCATTTAGGGTGTTTGAAAATGTAATACAAAACCTATCGACTTAAACTGTTATAGCTTGTAACAAAGATAAATGTGATGATGAAGAAATAAATGATAACGATTAAGAACATAAAATGGAGACAAAACCGAAGATAAAGATGCAAATGAAAACGTAAAAATGTCACGTAAAATCCGAGATGTTTTTTGAGCTAAGAAAAAAATCCAGAGTGATGGAGCAAAACGGATGTCAGATTCGTGTTCAGCGACCCCAAAAACATATAACAGACTAGGTTTGGTCAAAGGAACCTTTCATCGATTTTCCTTTTTGTGGACCTGTGTAATTAGCCCGAAAATTTTGTCTATTCGCTTTCCGAGGAAGGAAAATGTCAAAATCCAATTCGTTAGCGGTATCGGTAACTTCTGAAAATATATCAGAAAAATGCGTGTTAACATTTTCTCTATAGTTAAGAAGAATATTCACAGTGCCATTGACTGCTTCACTAGCACGATTCAAGTCAAGCGAGGGCTCTTGGAGAAGTAAAGTTTTAATTTTTAATTTTTTAATTTAACTTTTTAATTTTTATTACATTTTGCAAGTCTGGTTACACAGTTGAAAGTGAAATTTCCTACATACGTGCACCGCGGAAATATACAAAAAGTAGTATCAGAAAGTTCGATTTGACACATAATTATCTCCAGAAAATGAGGCTTACACATTCCACATCAGTAAAAGTTAAGAACAATTGTAATAAAAAATATTTACCCGACTTTTTTTTTTACCCGAATCTTTTATTTATAAAAGCAAATAATTGTAAAATAAAAGCGAAAATGGATTTTTTGTACACTTTACGTCTTGTCTTCAGATTAAAAATAAATGAAACAAAAATGTAGTAAACGTAAAATAGCCAAATTCAAATTCGAAATTCATGTAAAACAAGTTCGCCCAAAGAACGAAGAAGAAAGTCAGTAAAGTGCACAGATATTCAAAGAGTTTTAGACAGCAGATGCCTACTCATCATCATCGTCGTCGTCGATAATAGCTATACGGCGACGCTTGGCGGGTTCCTCCCCGCTGGCTAAACGCTGTTGTTCCTCTTGATTTGGTTTCCGACGCGCGATAAATGTATCCTCTTCCTCGTCGTCCGTGACTTGAAGCCTACTGAAACTTTCTTCTTCCTCAACGCTATCGTTCAAAACACCACTTTTGCGTTTATTTGTAGCTGCAGGCAGTAGAGTCTCCTCTAAAACGGCTCCTGTATCGTCCGCTCCTGTGGTTATGTCACCAACATGCGCTTGATTGCTTGTTTTGTCAACAATGGCAGCACCCAAATTACCGTCGACCTCAATATCAGCATCAGCGGCAGTATCAGTAACGGAAACGGTCGCAGCTTCTTTGTCAGCAGTGCCGTCGTTTTCATTGATGGTGTTGGCTTTATTAACGCCTTTGTTGTCGTCCTTGGCATTTTGTTCGCCGTCAATCATCTCATCCTTGCCAATCTCATTCTGGTTCTCATCTTCGCTGTCTGAGTCAATTATGTTAGCCCGCCGCACGCGAGTTTTATTGTTACTAGTGCTGCTCACATTTTCATTGGCGATTGCGTTTTCTTCGTCACTTTCGCCCAGCTCGAGTAAACGTTTACGATAGTCTTCTGAATTGAAATTGAGCTCTTCCAATTCTTCGGTGTAAGTGGTCTCTTTACGCTTTTGCTTGTTGGTTTTAGATTTCAATTGATCGAATAAATCGGTTGCGGCATCGGTATTTTTCTCGCTGAATAGTTTCTCAATGTGCTCATCCTCATCGTCGCTGCTTATGGCTGGTTGACGACGCCTATTGTCGAGTTTTCTCTTGATTTCATCAACTTGTGCAGCCTCATCCTCCGAGTTTTCGTGCAGTTTTTTGTCTTCTTCTTTAGGCTTACGTTGGCGCTTCTTCTTCTGTCCTATACCAGCACGTTCAGTGTCCTCCTCATCGCTTTTGTTAAACATTATGCTACGCATTTTCTGTGAACGCTTTTCTATGAAGCTATCCATTGCTGCCATGCGCTTTTTGTGCTTTTCAGCAAAGTTATCAAAGAAATCTTCCTCGCTCTCACTGTCTTGCTTCGATGCTCCGCTAGCATCGGATTCAGACTCACTGCTAGAGTCATCACTGTCATCATTCTCATTATCGATTCCTCCTTCTGGCGCTTCAATGGCGTCCTCACCTTCATCCCCTATGCCTTCCAAATCAATTTCGATTTCATCGCCAGCTACTATTTTAGCGCGTAGCTTTAAGTCGGCCGAGTTAAGATACACAGGTATGCGCCAATAGCTTTCTGAACCCAACAAGGGTGGTTGTATGCCCAAAGCAACGAGAATCTTTTGAAAATCCGCATTCTCTATAGCTTCGCAGGCAGATTCTTGTAGTGGCACCAACGGTACACCATCATCCTCTTCGTTGGGTTCCTCTGTTTCTTCGGCTGCATCCTCTAGACACTCTTTGAGCCAATCGATTGAGTCCTGGTACTTCTCGATAACTTGTGCAATCAATGCCCGCACAGTGCCCACATCGAGCGGCGTTCGCACCACTTTCCGCTTTACCGGTTTCGATGGTTTGGGTGCCGCCGCTGGTTTGTTTTTATTCTTCTTCAGTTTGTTTTTCTTCTTTGATTTGGTTTTATTGCCGGACGGTGGTTCCAGCTCGCCGAATACGGGTTCTTCCATAAAGGCACCTTCGTCATCAGTGCCTTCAAAGCTGCCCGTTTTCTTCTTTGGCTTGCGTTTGCGTTGCTTCTTCGGCATAATTTCTGACTTATCTGCGATGATGTGTAGCTGAAGAAGGCGCTGAATAATTTGACGTTTTGTCCGCCGATCAGCGAATTCGTTGAGAATGCGCTGTAAGCAATCTGCAATACGAAGAAAAGTTGTTATAAAAACCGCGAAAGTTGAAAATAAAAAAAAATATGCAATAGCTGAAATGCTTACCTTCCTCCAATCGATGTTCGTCATAGAGGCTTTGTAGCTCCTCATCCTCTTCGGTGCGCCAGAGATGCTTAGTAGCTGCATTCGCAGTAGAACGCTTGGTGGGCGCCTTAAACATCAAACCGAGTTCCTTTAATTTCTTAAGTATCATGCGTCGAGTGCGTGTCTTGTCGTTCAAATGCTCGATGATCCAATCAATCACATCTACAAAGATACGAGAGGTTAAGTGTTTGAATGTTGAATAAAAAGATTTAAAATTATTTGGCTATGAACTACATATATCCGCCCTCTAATCCATCACTTCACCTCCTTCACTCGCTACCAAACGACAAACACTGTAACCTATTTATTTATTTAGTATCATTAAATTTTTGCACCTCCAACATTTAGGAATTCAAATTTAATTTGCCGAAATCCACCCCAAACCACCACGGTAAACCCTTATGCCAAGAACAAATAAGGAAAAAGTGACGAAGTGATGAAGTGTTTTTCGGCTTGTGGTCAAGTTGTTGCTGGTGGGCTAAGCTTAGCTGAACTGATTGTTAGTAATTTGGTCGACAGTTTGTTTGTGTTAGCTTGTTGGCGCATTTGTTGAAAGTGTTGTCTGCTTTGCCGCTGCTAGTTGTTGAGGTTGCGGTTAAAGTGTTTTGCACGTCACTGACGAAGGTTGGCAGCTGATATTGACAAAGTGGATGTACACATAAACTCATGCATGTGTTTATGGAGATTAGGGTGGTCCAGTCAGAATTTAATGCTAGCACATTTAGTATTACTCTATACCGAAAAAATATATACCCCTATTTTTTATTTTGAAAAAAAATAAAAATATTTACAGGTCGCTCAAAGCACTCAAAGTTTCCCATGTATTTTATAGAAATGGTATAAAATTGTTGAAAATCAATATTTTTCGGAACACTCTGGTTCTCTTCAGGAGACTTCCAAAAATATTGCCCAATTGTTTATTTAACCATTTTTTTAACAGGACCTATAAAATATAGTTACTATAACAAAATGGTTAATTAAATAATTGGGTATTATCAATGGGAGTCTTCTGAACAGAAACAGAGTTTTCCGAACGAAAAATATTGGTTTTAAAGAATTCTATACCATTTCTACGAAAAACTGTTTTTCCCCATAAAAATACAAGGAAAATTTTGAGGGCTTTAAGCGACCTCTAAATATATTTTTGATTTCAAAATAACAAAATATGGGTATATTTTTCGGTATAGAACAATCCTAAGGCTGAGAGCATTAAAATTTCGAATTTACTTTTTCCCACATGCATTTTTGGACCACCCTAATGCACATACATACATTTATTTGTATATGTAAATTTCTGCACAAATGTTTCCGCAGTGGCTATTAAATATATACTCTTGTGGGGGTGAGGTTGATACCTTGTGTTAACCTTGAGGATATAGCCGTCGTTTATTCATAAATCTGAAAATTGTGTGGTAGAGCTAATCGCTTGACAAAGATATGTATTGTTTAGCCAAAGACAATTTTGAGAAATTTTCAAACTAAATATATAGATATGTAAGTATGCAGGCTTCTATGGTGCTAATTCAATAGACATCTCTATCGTTTGGGTATCAGACCATAGTAATATACATTCTTAAGAAAAAATGCGGAATTGGATCTGAGCTGCAAGTTTCGCGAATTTCTAGGTATGGCGATCTCTGAGTGATCAAATACCATCGCAAGTAGATTTATTGACAATTCAAAGGAAATGTTATAATTAGGTAATGCAATTACCATTGAACAATAAAAAAATACCAATTTCCGATTTCACACCCCACCCAAAAAAAAAAAACAAATTTTCAAAACATTTCCTGCTGTGAAAAAAAACTCAGCTCTCACAAATGTTATTAGCTGTGTCGCTAATATTTAGTAATAATATTTTAGCGGTTACACAGCGCCTTCGAATTGTGGTGTGCACCTTGATGTTTTCTCACACAAAGGGAATGGACGTACAGTTTCACACCGACTCCGAATGGCTGTTTTTTATGGCTGAATACACGCGGATATTTGCCACTGCATACCGAAGGGAGACCGCTATTAGAAAAAAGAACTTTTTTGTTTTTTATTTTCCATGTTGTTCGGAAACTGGGCTTGAACCCAGGCTGTGCGAAATGGTGGCGCGCACTGCTAACCACTATACCACAGCGGCCGCTGTATCGCTGCTGCCTTCAAAACAAGGCTGGAAAGTGTTTTCCGAACAAAGTGGAAGAGACACTTTAGGGCACCAGCCGTACCATGATCAAACTTTTACACCCGTACGTGGTAGTCGAACCTAAAGAGAGTTTCGCTCCACCTAAGCACAATTAATTTAATTCGTTGGGTAAAAGTTTGAACTTTTTTGTCAAAAATCTAATTTTAATAAATGGGCATTTATTCCATTGTCACTGGTGGGACAATTTACTGCAGAGATACAAAAGATATTTTTTAACATAGAGCGATAAATAATGTATAAAATTCCTTTAAACAAATTACCAAACGATTGAATGAATGTGACTGAAAATAACTCTATTTTACCTTTGTGCACGCAAATACGAACTTTATCCAAAACAATTAATTTTCAAGAGAGATGTTTTTGTGTTGTAAAATATGAACTATACGCCTGCGTTTTCAATTAAAATTTGGTGGATATAATCTTCATAGAAAAAATAAAAAAATACTTGAAGTTGTTGTTGGCGGGCCAAGTCCTGTGCCTGTGACTGTGATAAAGTAATTACGTATGAAGTCAAGTTTTACAATAGACAATAGTTACAGCTTCTTTTTTATTTCTTTACAACAGATTAATGAATGAGTTCATTCTCTAACAAATACTACAAAAAAATTTAACAAATTTTCAACTAAAATTTCAAATTTCTAAATTTTTTCTCAGAAGTGTTAAGTGTTAGAAATTTTTGGGGTACACTGTTTTATAGCCCCTTCAATTTTAGTCTAATAGAGTGCAAGTTTGAAGTGGATAAAATTAACGGTTATTTTTTATAGGATTATTTTTTCGCCGAAGGTGTTGCGGGTTTCTTCCATATATAGAGATAAAAAAAGTGTGTGTATTCGTTATATTGGAAGCAAATGCAACAATAAATCATTCTAAAAAATCAACCGCAATCTTTAGCTATTTGAAACACTAACATTGAATGGGCTGTAAAACGGTGTACTCGAAAATATTCTACAACTTCCGGGAAAAAGGTTTGAAATTTTGGTGAAACTTTGATGAATTTTTCTGTAGTCTTTTACAAAGTTTTTAACTTGGGTTATCTTAGAGACTGAACTGTATTTTAATTGAAAATTCTGAAAAAGAAGCGTACATGAAGCGAAGCTACGTGTGCCTGCGCAAACGTGAGCAAAGAAATAAAAACAAAAAAAAGTTAAATGAAATGAAAGACAGACAGACAAGGCTAAATCCATTCAATTCGTCGTTCTGATCATTTCGATATACTTTTTTATGGGTCTATATCTTCTTCTTCTAGTACTTACAAACATCGGACCAAAATTATGTATAATCCCACTTCATGTTCATGAAAAGTATAAAAACCAGCAGTTATTTCAATATTTTTTGGGATGTTTGCATGAACTATAGTGAAGCTGAAAATTGCTAATGATAAAATATCTTGAAAGCCAAGTCAAGAAAAAATCAAATACAAAATTGTTACTTTTGGCTTCATAATACCGAAAATTCCTCACTATTGTTCTTAGAACGGAAAGTCATTGTAATTAATTTGAATAAACAATAAATCAACCGCTACTTCCGACTTCTCTATTCTCATTTTCCGGCCTTGCCATTCATGTAAACCCCATTAATTTCAACAATTCTGACATTTTAATAAAAACAAATATTAGTATGTCATTTTAGTGATGGTGTCGTCACTTGTCATCGCTGCCCCATGCACAATCCACCAGCAAATAGTCACGACAGTCAAACAGTCGAACAAACATACGTACATACATACTTACTATACAATCTCATTTTCAATGGATTGTGAAAACTGTCTCAATGTGACACAAATGATGTGCGCAATTATGCGCAACGGACTCAAAAGCCGGGCGCTCTCAAACTCAAGACACAAAAGCAAGCACAGAAAAATATGCCAACATAGCAATGGCGTTTGTATTAAAGTATGCAGATGTGATTTTATGAAGTTTTCCTTCCTTTTTCCAACGCCTTCAACCGATGACAATCAATTCAAACAATTCGGTGATGGATACAATTACAAATTTGTGATTTTAAGCAGCAGGAATGAATGATTATAGGCTGGCAGATTGAGGTTGAAATGAGACGTTGATATCATATTTATATAGACACAAATGCATAAACATACACACGAACAAATATTTATGATTAAGACTGAGTGTTTTTATATTATACATTCTTATGTAGGTATGTATGTTTGTTTTAGGTGGTGACAACTTACCCTTATCAGTTTCAGGATTACGTTGATTTTCCTCAAATAGCATACGCAGTTGGTCTTCTTGCTCTTCGGTCCAGGCGCCTTTAGCGCTATTGAGTGCAATGGAAGAAAAAGAAGCAGAATAAGCAGAAGGATAAAAGTCAGCATGTTAGTAAATATATCACAAAGGTGAAAGGGTGAGTATGGGTTTATATTGTAATACAAAGAAGAAACAATCATTTATCATTTCATCAGCAGGCAGCCAAGTGATACATGAATAGCTCAACTGCCGCTGTCACTAAGGCAACTATGCCGCTAGCCTGTGGTTCGACATAAAAGTAGAATTTATTCAATAATAGCTGCGGTTAGATGAAAAATACTCCAGGGGAAGCTAAGCACTTACAGGCAGAGCAAAGGACAGCTGCTGCTGCCACTGCTATTCCCTTTGCTATTTTATAATTATATACATATACGCTTACTTACGGCTCATATGCATCACAATAGCCGCCTTCCAACTCGTTTGCCTCTTTCATCGTTTTCCAGAATAATAATTCAGCGAAGATTTTCGGATTTGTGGGCGCCACTTCGACAAATTTACGTACAACATAGATACCAAGGCGCCGCAGCTCTTCATGATGAGTATCACGTTCGACGCTTAAAACGCGTTGAAAGATGCGAAATAGTTTTGCCTGTAAATAGCAAGAGAAATAAATCAAATAATAAATGAATAAGAAAATTACAAAATGAGCAAAGTGAAAGAGGAGTAGAAGGGGTAAAAGGTGGAGTGTTGAAAAGTTTATGACTTCTTGTTCGTAAATGGCTTAGAACTGTGGTTAGCCGTTAGTTGGTGCCGGCAGAAGTATTCCTGAAGTTTACTATTTATAGTAGTAATTATGCGCACATACATACATGCTCCGTGGGGAGCAAAAATGAGTACACGGTGATTTTAGTTAAATATTTGCAGGGTTTTTAAAGATAATTTTTTTTATTATTTTTCATAACAGACCAAAACCAAAAAAACTTGTTAACCTTTGTATAGAGCTTGGACAAATTTAACCACTTTTCATTAAAATTTCAACTTTTTTTGATATTTTTTTTTTGGCTACGGATTTTTGCACTTTTTTTCGATATAACATGAATTTTTTATTTTTTTTAAATAAAATCAAAGCCAGTTTTTATAAAATGCACTTATACGAAAAAACTGCAAAAGCCGTCAGAAAAAAAATCTTAAAATCAACGCGATTTTGCAGCCGCTTAAGACTTGCGCTTTATTACACTAAAATTTAATGGGCTATGGATGTTACTGAAAAATTTGTTAAATTTTTCTAAGCTTTGTATAAAGTTTGAGAGTTTAATTTATATAGTTTATGACAAAATATAGTTATGACAAAATAACAAAAAAAAAAAACTTTAAAAACCTTGCAAATGTTTAACAAAAATCACAGAATATTAATTTCTGCTCCCCACTGTATATTACTGTGGTCCAAAAAAGGGAAATCCACTTTTTGAAATTTTCCCGCGGCTAGCCCCAGATTTGAAGAATATTGAAAATAGGACAGTTTCGAACCGGCACGCAGTGTGAAATTATAGAATGATTTTAGTGATAAAAGGCTGGAGGAGTAAAATTTTAACAGAATTGAAAATACATTTTTTTTAAATACTTGGAACGGATTGCAATCAAAATCGGAGGTCTATAATACGACCAAAATATAGAGCTTCCCCGACTTAGTAATTTGTAATTTTCCGTTTTCCAATAAAACACACTTTCTTCCAGTTTAGAAGGGGTAGGCAGACGGGTCTAGTACATCCTGTATAATAATTCGTACTTTAAAAATAACGAAAAACAGTTGCTTATGTTTTTATTAAGAAAACAAATCGCACACTTATATTTTTGGAAATCATACAATTTTAACTTACACGCACGATTATGCGTACACCGTTACAGGTATATTTAATAATTTCATAAAAACTGTATACGGCCTACTCCGACCGACATTTTTGGTACGCGAATATATTTACAACAACTATGCACTTATAAACTAAGCCACGGAATTATGCGGCATTCTATAACTTTTTTAATAATATATCAGAGTATTTTTTTTTTTAATTTTTTAAGCTTTTATAAGTTGAAACAATTAGCTATAACAGTTTTACTTGCTTCTTAAACAACTTAATATAAAATTTTATTTTTAAATCTATCTAAAAATGGCGTCACTGCAAAAAAAACACATGTCGTTTGCTTCAGTTGCTCTATGCAAGAAACTATTTGTGTGGCCCAAGTTTTAAATATCAGAAATATTTCTTCTTTTTCGTAGCCGCATTTTTTGCAGAATTAACTTCAATAAGCAAACTACTTTTAGTTAAACAAAGATAAGGTCAATTTAGCTTATATATGAATATTCACGAGTACACACACAGCACACACAGTTTGAATATGTGGCAAACTAATTTTAATATCACCAATGCCCAAATGCTGGTATGTATGCTAGTCGGCCAAACGAACAATATAACCAATTACACCGATATTTTTAGGTTCCACGACTACACAGCTTATCGTTCTTGGGAATAAGTTCTTCACAAGTGTTCTTTTTAGTTGCGAATGATTGGGAGGACGACTGGATCACGGACCTCCAAGATAACCCCACAGCGGTTCACCGGGATGGCTCCAAACTAATTCTCCAAACTCGAATGACCTCCAATTAGGCCGCGATTTTAGGCTGCCACAGTGTTTTCCAAGCAGAGCTTGCGGTCATAAAAGAGGTCTTTGCCATATCGAATCTTCTCTTAATCTGTCTTCAGTAACCATATACATATGTACTTATCCATGCAGCTGGAATGCTGTAAAAACCTCGTCAAAACTGTGATAGAATGTAGAAAAGTTCCTAATAAGCTAGCTGCAAAGTGGGCTAGCGACATTGAGCAGACGCCAGGTCATAGTCTCATACGAGGTTACCCTATGACAAACGAGCTTGCGAAGCGAACCACCCTGTCTGACGTCAACCCCTCTCACGATGGGGTCATGCCGGTACCTACCTGCGAAACATGGCGTAAAACAAATTTTGTCGACAAGACAAATAAAGGTTCGTCGGAAGAAATCACGCGAGGGATCATACGGTGCATCTGGCCTAGCTTCGGCAAGATAAGAATAGCGGCCAGTGACGGGAATTATAACAGCTCTCTTTTTGATGGTAAGCTGTTACACTATCTCTGTCATTGCCTTATCAGATGCTAGCATCTTTCTCATTTCATAATCGCCTCTTTGGCTGATTGATGGACCTAATAGGGAATTTATATGAGGCGATTTTTCAGGCGATTTTTAGTTGAATGCAACAATCGCCTGGTGTAAACGGCCTTTCAACTAATCGCTTCCAATGAAGTTGGTCGGCTGCCTACTTTCGTTCAACTTTTGGTTCAACTAATCGCCTGTGAAAGTTGAATCATGTAAATTCCATATAAGTAAACTGGATGCAGGCAACCGCTTAAACTTTACATAACGTAAACTAAATTTGATGACTACATGCAAGTGGGGACCAGTAATGAGAATGTACGGCTATCTAATTTGTAAGAGGATATTCTAAGATAACAATGTAGGAACGCTAAAATTATAAAAAAACGCCGATACACATAAATTTAATTTTGGGTCGTAGACTACGGATCTGTATATCGTTTTTCTAGATGAGGAAATTTTCCAAGATATTTTCTCATTAAGTTTGCATGGTGAAGCAAAATGTTGCGTACGATATGGCGTATTAGTAACATTATTTTATCATACGCCACGTACACCCGAGTAACACGCTTTACTGCTCGAATTTCATATAAAAAATCTTTGCGCATTTTCATTTGACCACTGATATTTCGTATTTATCCATCGATTTTCTTCATCAGAAACTTAATTTTTATTTTTTTTTGTAATAGAACAGGATTTAGTACAAATGCGAAAATTTGGCACAGAGCCTGTTATTTTTTAAACTTTTAATCTTAATTTTCCGTGTTTTATATTAAGATTTTTAAATTGGTTCGTAAGATATACGTGATTAAAAGGAACCAATTGTTGCTTTATGCTGAATAACGGTAAATTGCAAATATGTATCTCGAAAACGTAAAAAAAAAAATTTAATTGGATTTTCGGAATCACCGAGCAATTCTACATAGGCCTTGGATAGTGGCGTCTGGAGAACAAACACCAATTTAAAATTTGTGATCCAGTGTTTTCAGTTAGCAGCTTGATCTTTTGAGAAAAATTTAATTTTTTTGATTTACTCCCTGTTAAAATTTTATTTATTGAAGGCTACTAGATATGAAGTTTAAAATCAAGGTTATATTCAATATATTAAGTTTAAGGAACAAATTCAAATAAAATAAACTGCATAAAAATATTTCAAACAAAATACATACATATTTACTATTGATATGTAGTTCTCCAAAATTTGCTTTACTGAAAAAGATTTCATCACATAATTGATAGCAGGAGCTTAACATTTCGTAGTTGGTTTAGAATCTTGCAGCAATTTTTTTACTTGGCAAATTTTTAATTTAACTCACAATATTTCAATGCTTTAAAGCCGCCAAAGCGTATAGATGCCATGATTTATGAGCTAACTACTGAAAAATCCTTTGCGCGTGGTTTATTTAAGCTTTTGTTGCAAAGCAAATTACTACAGAAATAAATTATTGTTTTTAATTTTTTTCAAGCTGCTTTAGGCACCTATCAAGTGAAATAAGCAAACGGCAAAAATAGGATAAAATATGCTACAAAAATATTTTGAAAGGGAAAAAAGTGGAAGTGCAAAAAATATGTTTAATTCCTCTGCTTATGGCACCTAGGAATTTACTTTGTCTGCATTACAGTGCAACTTCCCCACAACCCAGCCTTGGATGGTGGCTGCCACTTGAGGAGCATAACGACAAACAAGTTTGGCGGCAGGATCAGCAGGCGTACCACTGTTCACTGTGTGGAAGTTCAAGTTCATTTAATTTGTACAAAATGGGCGCACGGAACAAAAAAGGCGCAGCAAAAATTTCGTATGGAGCCAATAATGGCAAGGAGCAGCAGGAGACCACAATTTCTTGCTGCTATTTACACAGCCTTCCCGGAATTTACTTTTATACATACAATAATGTATATAAGTGTGCATACAGGCAGCAAGTCAATTTGGCGTCCGCAGGAGTCAACAGACGTTATCGCGCCAGGCCAGACTGAACTAAGCCAGCCTAGGCCGTACGCGACCAACAACTCACGCTCGACGTTACGCCTGCCTGCGGCTGTCGCTGTGGTTGGTTGTGGCTTGAATTGATGCCGGCAATCTCGTATTGCACACAAGTAAACAGACACATACGTATGAATAGGCAGCAGAGCGCACATTTTCCCAACACAAATTCGTATATTTTTAAGTAGCTAAATATTTCTATTTACACTCATTGGTAGCGGCTGCTGCTGCTGTGCACTTTACTAGGATATTTTCCCGGTGACTTTGATTTATGTTTGCTTTGCGTGCGAGAATACGGCGGAAATTTGCCAAGCGCAAAACAAATTCAACGGGCAGCATGCAAACAAACATAGCCAGTCAGCCATACATATGCATACACACCATCGCAACTATGCATGTTTGTATGTATGCAAGCGCAAGTGTGTATGCGATCCGAGCAAACAAACAAAATTTGAAATTGAAATTAAAATTTTACCTGGGTGCATACATGAAAGCATATCTATCCAAGTATGTACATAACGGCGTGAGCAACTAATAGAAGAGAGAGCTCTTACAAGTTCTAACTGTTGCAGAATAAAACGTGTACTAGGCACTGCTTACCAATGGATGTTGAGGCTGCAAATTTAATTCAAATTTACAATTAAACAACACAAAGTTGCATTTAGTCTGCAAAGTTTTTAGCCCAGCGATTCACCTGCTCGCGTGTGCCGTCGTCGTTTGTATTGTCAGTATCGGACAACCACATACATATGCACATATCGTTAATTAAATGCCGAAAGGACCTAACTGGCATTGATTTCTTCAAATCGGTTTCATAAATTGTATGGAGCTAAAGATAGCAAGCATCTTCTCTAAACATTTTATAGCCGCCTGCTAAAAACCCACGAGCTTACGACACTTTTCAAAAAATTCTACAAACATAGCATGTGTTTACATTTGAGTTTTTTCTTTTTCTTCAAAAAGTGTAAATTGTCAGTTAAGGTCTTTATGCATTTTAACAACGATATATGCTATGTACTTTTTGAGGTTTAATTTCGCGTTTGCACGCCCCAAAAAGTATGCAACATTTCAATTTAACTACTCTTAGTTTGTAAAGTAAACAACAAACTTTGGTTTTGGAAAATCCTCAGGCTTACATTTTAATTTCAAATGACTCGCGCACGTAATCAAGTAAAGAGGAGAAGAGTAAAAAAACAAGCAAAAGATCATTGCCTGTTCAGAGGAAGCTTACTACGTGAGAGTGGAGTTAATTTAAGCTGGTGATCAGACATGGAAAGGTGACCGCGTTAACCGCAATAGCCACGAGGCTATTGAACCACTCAACAGTTAGGACAAAAATTCTAGAATCATTGTCTTATACGTATGTATATATAAACCAGAATCCTAATATATACATACATGTGTACTACATTTATCCATTGTATATTTTTTTTAGTAAAACGCAAGTACCTACACTGGAAAAATCTTGAGCAGGTTCGATTAAAAGTCGCTTAAGAAAATGGTTTCCAATTGGTGCGAAGGGAACGATGGGAAAACTGAATGTTAATGTCGGATATTGTTGCAATCAGTTTCAGCGCAGGATTAATCTGTTACAGAGTGACCTTAAAACGATTAGTTCAAAAGAAAAACTTAAATTTTTTCTTTCTCTTTTCGCAAAGTTACACTAGAGTTTTTCATGTAAAGTACAGACTGGTTCCTTTGCACTGCATTTGATTCATGCTTTTGTGCCGGGTCGGAGGATTTTCATGTCAAGTCTTTCTTTGTTTTCTAAGATATCGTCCAGACCTTCATATTAGTAGATATATGCAGAGCAAATTTGTTTGTCCAACAAATAATATTACACAGGGCAACACTGATTTTGGTGCGGTAATTGAAAAATTGTTCCATCAGCTCCAGATTTTGAGAAAAATGTAGTCAGTGTCAAAAAATCGCGTTTTTGGCAATATTTGAAAATCACTAGCAAAAAAAAAAAAACCTGATACAACCTTCCACTTAGCTTTAAATTAAAGCAAGAACTCTGGGCTACTATTCCCGAAAATACCATCCCTGCACCTTGACCCAATAGTCACTTATAGCAGTGTTGGCAAAATTTTAATCTGATTAACGATTAATAAAATGTTAATCGCGATTAACCCTACAATGGTCATGTGGTCTACGATCGTACACCGCTTCTTTTAAAATAATGCTATCTTTTAGTTTTCTTTCTTAAGCTAGTTGTGCTTTTCAGTAGCTGTTGATAATATGTGTGCTCACATAATCAGTGCATTAGGTGCGCTGAGATGGAGCGATTGGAAATTGTATCACGGCAGAAGCATGACTGGTCTACAGATGTAGACCACGTGATTTGCCTATCGCATCGCATTGTTCTTTCGTATAGCATTACAGAGTAGCCCGCCAGGACTATAAAATCCAAGCTCGTTAGAGACACGCTACAAATTTTGGCAGACAAAAACACGGTAACACTGTGCTGGGTACCGGGCCATTGTGGAATCAAAGACAATGATATCGCCGACGATTTGGCACGAGAAGGATCGCTAACAGCGTTCTCGGGACCTGAGCCATTTTGTGGTCAGAGTGGGAACATTCTAAACGCAGTAAGTACTGGGGAGCGGTAAGGACCAGAAACATGCCAGGCTCTTCGGCTACCCTTTCAACATTAATGATATTATTTTAGAAATGATACTAGGCCAACTTTTTGAGTACCAGACTGGTCACAACCGATTGCGATTCCACTTGCACCGAATAAGCGTAGCCACAGAGTCGGAATGACGGCTCTGCCTTGAAGATGATGAAACTACGGGGCATATTCTATGGCAAGACACAGACTAATCCATTTCAAAGCTTCAATGGTCGAACTATTTATTATAAAGAATTCGCCTACCAACGCTCTTTTGGGACTCATTAGGCAAGCCGAATGTATCTTGGCCACACTGGGTTAGGGATCCTGCCTTTAAGAGATACAAAAGACCTTTCAGGTCGCGGTAACTAACTAAAGTCCAACAAGATATTTTTGTTATAAGTAAAACCCGTTCTAGTGCAGGTCGTTCGTAGTTTTACGATTATCTTAGAAAAATAGCAATTTTTTTACGGCGAGATACCTTTATGTACGAAATAATGTACGCTATTATTCGTTCACTTCTTACTCACCTGATACAACATGGCCGGACTAGAGCAGCCAACAGCGATGCGATGCAATAAGGTGACGGCTGACTTCAACGATTTTGTTGGTATTTGATCCCAATCGGCTAAAACCACTGTACAAGCGCGTATTATTTTCGGATTCAGCAATCTGTGCAAAAATTAAAAGGAACCAAATTCTTATTTTTAGTATGTATCTACTTACAACGAACACATATACATGCATACATATTTACATATATGGAGTGTGCCATAGGCTAATTGGAAAAAGCAATAGCATGAGTGCACATGAAATTGCTACGGAAAATAAATTAAATATTAATTTCAATTTAATTAAACAAAAACAAACATTTCGCGACAGTAACGGGCACACACACGTTGATATGCGCATATGTAAGTATGTGTTGCATGTATTTATATTTAATTGGAAACGCTTAGAGGTTAAATGTTTCATGGAAATTGAGTTGGAATGTTTTAATTTAGCCAATTAAGCTTTTATGCCTGCTGTGCTTCCTTCTCAGTCTCTGCGCCTTTTCATGTTGATTCAATTAAAATTTTTCAAAAAAAAAAAGAGAAAGATACTAAGTGGCAGTGGCGCTGAGCAGTAACCGGTTGTATTCAAAATGGTTTAGGTGCTGGCAAATTTTTACGCAGAAGGCACTGGTTGTTTCGTCTCGATTTTATGTTGTGGCATTAATTTAAATAGCCATATGTATATAAATGTGCGTGTGGTTTTATGCTCCAGTGGACAGACATGAGAGCGATTTCAATATTGCATAGGGAAATTCATTGATGCAAGAGAAAAGGTTAGAAAATTAAATGCTCGCACCAGCAAGAAGCATCGCAAAATCCATCTACATACAACTACATATATCGTCATGGAGCTCACCACAGAAAATTCTATTCTTACTTCAGTTGAAAACAAATACTGAATTAATATAACTCACTGGAGATTACATACCAACACCTACCACAAGGATTTTAAATGTAATCTCTTTTTAAGTAACAAGCAATCAAAATAAATTTAAACATGAGTGCCCCAAAACAGATATTTTATACTATTGAGTTGATTACGAATTGTAAAATTTCCATGCAACAAAATTTATTACAATCATGCCAATAGGCTGCTCCATGCCTCCTACTTACAATGTAAATTGCCAAATGTTGTTAACTAGAGAAGCTACAAACTAGGCAAATGCAGACGATAAAGTCGTTTTATGTTTTAAGTTTTCATTTTGTTTCAAAAACGATTACACTTGGTAGCTGTCGATGGAAGAGCAATGTATGTTGGTCCATACATAAGTGACAAACATAAGTGAAGTGCCTGGAATATGTACTTGCTAGGGGCGAGATGCAGTAGAAATAATTGACAATGGATTTGGTAATAGGAAAGTGCGAGTAGATTTCCCAACTTGTGGAGAGCATGCAGCTCAGTAGTGGTAGTGGTGTAGTAAAAATAAATTAAATTTCGAGTATAGCAAGAAAACAATATAAATTGGACAGCAGCAGTGCGGGGAATTTCAGTGTACGATACTGAACGAGAAGCAACAAGGGGCAAGCAGGCAACCAAAATTTAATTTTCACTGAAAGAATCTCATCTACTGTTGTGTGCATATGTATGTATTCGTGCACGTGCGTGTGCTTGACTTTAAGCATGAATGAATTTAAGCCTGTTTGTAGGCTCAGGTGCTGAAAAATTTGCCATCGGCTATGGCGACTGAACATGCATACATACAAGTGGCCGTGGCTGCCCGTGCGGATAAGCAACACTGTGTGGTGAAACCACTGAAACTACAAACAGGTGGCTGTTGTTACTTTCAAAAACATGGCATAACAATGAGAAAAGTTTTACTATAGTAAAAGGCGGTAAAAAAAGCATAATGCTTTTGCGGCTAACATGGCCAGTAAAGTGGTACGCTTGTATCTCCTATGTGAGTTACAAATAGTTTAAGTGCCCTTTAGAGACTTTAAAAGACAGCTGGTGGTGGCACTTTTAAGCCATATCTAAGTATAAGTTTATTCGATTGACAACATATTTTAGCCCTTCTGTCGTAACGAAAAATCACCAACCGATATACATATATATGTATTAAGATGAGCAAATAGTTTAAAGGAAGACGCATGGTAAATGGTATGCTATGAAAAGCGGTGGAAATGGTAAATATTGCCTAATATTATCGAAATTTGGCATAAATCTGGCATACAAAAACCACTAAAAAAATAATAAACAATTTTGTGCGTGTAGTAGAGAACGGGACCCGCGGGAGTCACAGTAATGAGTTCAAACGAAAACGAACAGCAAAGCAAAACCAAAAAAATCCGAAGATGGCAGGTCTTTATTTTTTTAATATTTAAAATTAATTTAAAACACACGTGAATTTTTCTTAGCGATAGATTTTGGCACCCAAGGGACCCGTGGTAGAATTCTGCAAAACGTCGAGATGCGCGGGATCGGGATTTAGGTCCGTGCCCTTCTCTAGCGTTTTATTAATATTAATCTTAATCTTTTGCAGAATTTTAAAGTTTGAGTTTGACTTTTTGTTGCCTTTGACTGTGTCTTTACCTTTGTATTTGCCCTAATCTCTGTCGTAGTAATATTATTTATCATTATCCTTATCATTATTTATCTCAATCCTCGTCATTGTCTCGTCTCTCCCCGATCCCCGATAGCTCACGCATTTGCTACATATCACCTTCACCGTGTCGTTAAATAGTTAACGTCAAAAGATTCGAACTAGGCTAAAAGGTTTCACTTCAAAAAAAAACTATTAAGTTCGATAATATTTCCCATTTTTGTTTCCAGAAGTAGAGGATGCGGCAGAACGGCAATAAATATTATTTTTCCTCACTCTTTATGCATGGATTTCAGTATTATCTTTCTCCATTATCTACGGGCCACGCAGAAATAAGGTACAGATTAGATATGTAATATCGAATAACGCGCAGTTCAGAGCGCTTGAAAGTAGGTTTGCCAAGCTTCCTCTTTTCGGGAGGATAGTCTTCCCCAAAAGCTTAATACTCCTTTTTTGTTTTAGTTCAACAGTGTTGATTAACGAAAATTTCCAAACTATCTATATGAAACTTTTTGAGTTTATGGCTAACGGTACAAATTTACTTTCCATGCGGTAGTTCATTTGCCGAAAGAGCTTCTTCTACCATAGATGCAAATGGCAGTGTGGAGAAAGACCTTTTCCTTTAGATTTTTCGAGATGTAAAACGAATATTGTATGCTCCTGTATCAAAACGTCTCCTCCTCCCATAAAAACTATTTTTTGCTCCTTGAAGGGGTTTTAAAAGTTTTCAATCCTACTTGCAAGGCCCTTGGAAGATCGAGAGTTTTGGTTTAATGATCTACATTGCCATGCCGCATAGAGTTCATGTTTTAAATACATGCTAAGTGCAAATTCCCAGAACTGCAAACAAACAAAATTTTGCAAGGTATCAAAGTACCAAATTAAAGAAGCTATCATCTTTAACATTACGAGTCTGCGCCCAAAAAGCCATGTAGACTATGCACTAAGCTCTTACTCATGTTACCATCTATTTTATTTTTTCTTCGAACTTTGGAATAATTCCACTTATTTCGCTTATTGCAAATTGAATTTAAAAGAAATTTCATTGTTAACCGCACAGCTAACAAAGCATTTAAGCTTTCAAATAACCAGTGGAGCAATGGTAATTTGGTAGCTGAAGTCCCAATGCTCGGAAAGGCAGAGTAATTGAGGTAAACTTAGCACAAAGATGGCAGTTGGGTCAGCTTTTATCCTCATAATTGCAATAAGCATACATTCAAACTTAATTCACTAGAATTTACATGCTTTACATCTCTGTAGTTCGCTTTTTGTTTGCTGAGTTCCAGTCTTGCAACTTGCTCTGGCTATTGCTTTAATCCGATTAAATACGATTGCATATGCCAAGTGCATTTATTTTCAATTTGAATTTTATTTATTTCCAGGTAAACAGAGAAAATAAACTGAAGAAATGTGTTTCGGTAAAAAAAACGAAGCGTTGACTCTAGCTTTAATCCAAAACTAAGTATGGGATGTGTACATACGTATGTATGTACATACGGTTTTAGAAGTAGATTTAAAATTAAGCCAAAGAGCTACACGCTCAAAAATTTGGGTTTCCTTTTTAAATCGCGCTGGGACTACTGCCTTTTTTTTAATTATTTATAGTCTACTTTTTAAACCAGTCAATAGTTTTAAGCAATTTTTAATATATTCTGGTTTAAATTTTAGTCCAGGCAGCCGAGAAAATGATGTACTGCTATGAGTGGTTTAAAATTAAAACCAAAAAGTTCGTGGTTTAAAAATCAAACCAAAATGTATTAATTCTAGTTTCCAGGTTTCATATATAGAACATTTGGTTTAAAATCTAAACCGAAATAGAAAATGTTTGCACAAAGCGAAATGTGATGTTGATTCAAACTCAATTTATGAAAGCACATTTACATGTGTGGCTGTAGCTGAGTGATACAATTGGTTGCTACCAAGGCTGTCCGGGTTCAATCCCCATCAGAAGGAGCATGAAATTTAATATACATATATTTTTTTTACTTCTTAAATAGGTAAATGTTTGGGTTTAAAATTTAAACCAAACTTTTTAAATTCTAAACCCAACATATGTGCTCTCTTTTTGTTTAAACTTGAAAGGTTTGTATTTGAAACTGAATTTAGTTTCGTCATATATGTAGTCCAAAAAGTTTAAAATTAAAACGGAAATTTTTAACCGTGTAATATTTAAAAAGCGGCAGCATGTTAATACCTACATACATATATACTATTGCATGTGATGGCCTCCTTCACATTGTACATAAAAATATTATCATCAATTCCATCCGACATTAATTGATTAAGCAAACAAATTTACGCGCACCATGTGTAAGCAATACCTTCTTCGGTATGTATGTGTGTAGCTATTTAACTGTTGAATACTAGTTAATCAATAAATTGTTGTAGCTCTGTTAAGTCATAACCAGCAAAAATGTTTTTCCACCGACAAATGTGAGGGTTGCGTATACGCCCTGTCAGATCAGTTTATTGCTGAAATATGAGTGTTGTAGCGGGTTGTAGCCAAAATGTAAATACATAAGTAATAATACAACGACAGGGCGCACCTTTTCGCGCCAAGAAAAATGCATTAAATGGC